TTGCAGACCCTGAACCCGGCCACCAAACATGCCACGAAGAGCTGCGCCCACTGAGGGCCCACGCTGCCTCGAGATGACGCCGGAGGCCTTCACGGTCGTCCCGTGCCTCCACTTCGGACACCCATCAGTTGCTTGCGAATTGGCGCGTGGTAAGTCCAGGCATGCATTCTTTGTAACTTCTAACCATCATTTGGAGAGCACATGAGAGCACTCTGCAGCAACTGTTTTCACGGGTCTCATAACCCCCTCACAAATGCAAACCCAGCCTGGCACAGCCGGTGAAACCCCCTGACATTTCCTCGACTGCCCCGCTGTCAAGTCCACCACGCTTAAGCGCCGGTGCACAAGCGCACCTGACTAACATCCTTGTCCAGGAGCTTTGTCCTGCTGGCTTGAGGAGCTTTAAGGTTGAGTTGGGGAAAGGGAGTCGACGAAAAATCATGCCCCGCTCGTGTGCAGTACATGTGAGTTTTGAGATGAGCTTCCAGACCAGCCATTCGCCAAGTAGTCCATTTCGGCAGCCCCCACTCCCGCTACAAATCTACAAATTTGCAAAAGTCTCCAACCGTTCCCCCAAACACCTTGAACTGACAGCAATCCCTTTTTTCAGGTCCAGTCCTGTCGCGCAAGTTCGGCAGCTCCTCCGTCACGATGGCATACACCTGGTTTTTAGGGGTTCAAGGGTCCTGGCCCAGCTCGGCTTCAGAGGTCCGGTTCAATATTCAATGTAGGAGTCTGTCTCTCTCGGTGACCCTGGTGTTCTTGAGGGGTGATGGCCCCTGTCGATATTGCGAGACATTCTACGAGAAGGTGCTGAACATGCGAGTCCGCTCCTGTGTAAAACCATATGTCAATGTTGCTGTCGATGTTGCACACAGCTGAAACAGGTTTGATGCTTCCGGAACTTGCCGACAGCCATTCGGGTATCCGTTCGGCAAGCAGATGCATTCCAGGTATGACGTGTCTGGCAGGAAACACATGGCGACGTAAATGCACGATCGAAGTGCAAACTTGACCTTGACAGCCTTGTCCTGCTGTTGGTTTGAAAACAGGCTCGCTGGAATTTTCCCATCCTGCCTGCGAAGGGGACGTGAAGAACAAAAATGCCGTTTCTTCTCTGCGGGCTTGCTCAAACCACGTGTTGTTGACACTCTGAACATGCTGCCTGTGCCTTTCGAGGCTCCACTCGGTCAGGTCAGGATCTAGCGCAACCTTCCCCCACATTTCGGCCTCCCGGTTGGTCAGAAGCTGCGGTCCCACTTGCAAGATCTTCATGGCGATCTCCAAGTAGCAATGGCGATCTACGACTGTCTTCTCTGCACTGCTCTGAGCCCAAGTTACTTGAGTCGAAGTCCAAAAACATCGACAACGAACCCTGTGGTGGTGCTGCTTGGGCCAAAGGGGCTGCACAGCTAAGAGAGCAAGCTCCCACGTCCCTACGAAACACTTTGGGCCCTTAAGGACCTGAGGATCCAACTATTTCGCTGCCACACCTTGCCTCTACAGACTCTGTTACGAGCCCGGGCCCCAGATCTTCTAGTGTCTTTGTTGCCTGCCCAGTTGGACTGTGCTAGGACTGGATGAAAACGGTACTTCAAGATTTCGAGTCGGCGCACTTCCTGGGGACTTCAGCTACGAATGTCGGTCGTGCGGACCCACCTTGAACCTCACCAAGTCGGCTACTGAAGGCAAAGGAGGGCTTTAGACATAGGGGGCTCTTCGGACTTAACGAAGCCGAACTCAAGCTTCCTCGTTCTTAGTCTGCGCAGGGGTCGTTATGAGGTAAGTACATACTGGCAACAATGGAGCAAGCATCTCTCTCCGACGGTGCCCCTTCAAGACTAAGCCAAGGCATCCCGAGCCCGGGAATGAGACCAACACACGCAGAAACACAAGCTTCGGGCATGCAAGGAGGTGGCTCCTGTCAGAGTGAACATATCAGGGGTCTTCCTAAATTGGGAGGGGGGGGGGGCACCCTGTTGAGGTCCCAAATAATAAGGGAGACCTATCATTTGGGGATCTCAATTGCGGTCCCCCCCATTTTCGTCAACCCACTATGGTGGGCCTGCGGGTAGGTGAAGGGGTCGTTATAAACGGGCTCTGCATGGTGAGGAGTTGGAGGGCAGGGTTAGCGGGCCTTTTTGGGCTTGGCCTCGCCGGAGATCAAGTGTGCCAGCGCTCCAAGATATGGACCATGTGTCAAACAAATTGCTAAGAACCTACATCAAGTGGGCAACGTTGAGCACGAGGCCCAGAATATATCCACCTGACCATATGGCACACTACGGTAGCTGCAGCCCTGTGATTGAGAAATGGATTGAATTTCAACTTAGAGTTGAACAGTATCTGGTTCCCGATTCCCGCTACATGCTCCCAATGCCCTGAATGCCCTGAAGTGCGACTGCCGAGATCCTCCGGCGTTGTGACTCCAGTCCAAGGCTGTGGCAATGGCCTCCGCCCAGGTGCGGCTGCATGCAGGGGCTTTGAAAAGCACAAGGGCCGGCCAAAAGTGTGTCCACAGAATTCAACCTTCTTTTGGCGTCGTAAGGCTGAATCAAGAAAACCGAGCTCTAAAGAAATTCAAAGCGCTAAAACCCTGGGCCAGGTGTAGAATCCGCTGTTGCAGCTGAAGCAGGCGGGGCAATTCCCAAGGCGCGAGCCGTACGCAAGCCAGATCTCTCGCCAGAGATTGCCTGTGCAAAATTCAGTAAGCATATCAGGAAGAGACATGCTTCGTCAGAAGGTTTTTGGGATGCTAAGCTCATACAAGTAGCTAAGTAGCTGGCTGCTGAAACGCACGGGCTGCTGGGGCATCAGGTGCCGCAACTGGAGATTCCTAGTATCACGAGACCGTGCCTGCGGCGGAGGCGCCAAGACTCGAAATAAGGACCTGACTTGGCTCATGTCATCGGGGCACAGCAAGAGTGAGCGATTCCACAGCCGTGCCCTTGCGACAGGGATTTTGCCGCGGCAGCACAGCCTTGCTCGAAGCCGGCCACACCACACCGTGTTGGTGTCCCATGGCCAGGGGAAACAACAGTAGAGTGAAGGCCCTTGCCATACGAAACATCCCCACTTGTAGGTAGACTTGCTGAGTTTAACGACTTACCGTCGGACTTGAACTGCTGCATACACTCAATATCCTAGAACTTGAAGCTGAAGACTGCATGTTTAGTAGCTTACCGAATTCTGTGCAAACGGGTTCCGCAACTCAGCTCAGCGAAGACGAGCTGGCATCTGCCTTCGTGGCTCGGCTTAATTTTGGGGCTTCGGGGCCGTAGTTCACTGATAAGTCCTACCGTTCCTGCTCTCTAGCCCGGCGCTCCAGTTTTTTAACTTTACTAATGCCCCAGGTCCGCCTACAAGCGAAGCAGCACATGGCCGGGAAAGCGACTCTTTACGCGAAGTCAGTCACGAAGCATTTAAAGATCGATGCACACGCTGTGTTTGATTGCTGCTTTCCTGGCGCCAAAAACCCGCATGGCCACCTAAGACGTTCCCTTCCAAACTTCAATCATCACAGAAACACCCATGTTAGTTTCTATGAACAGGCTCATGCTTCACCAGCTTCCATGGGGCTAAAACCAGATCAAGGCTCACCTTTATTGCCCTTTCGCCCCAAACTCTTGGAGAGAAAAAGGGGCTCTCCTGCTAGCTCTGAAGAAGTCGTTCAGGTTCAAGCACATTTCCCAACAGTGCAAGGAAAACATCCTCGAAGCTGGCAAAGAATCCCACAGAGTATCCATGGAGCACCCGATACTTGTTACTTCAATGCAATTTACTGGGTTTTCCGATACGCTTCTTGCTTCATCATCGTTCGAACCCATCCTTAGCGGACATGAAAACTCCTGCAGAGAAGCCCGCAGCGCATCGTTATGGAGTGCCCACCCCAGGGGATCGCACTTAGGGAATTCGCAGAGTATCTCTGTGGATCGCTCGCCCCCCGCAGAATCCGTCAAAGAATCCCGCAAAGCACTCTGTGTCCCTTCTTTCGGCATTCGCCACATCTCTTGTTGTGGCTCTTCGGCCGCCAGTGTGTCTCCCTGCCTCTCTCTTAAACCCTAAACCCTAAACCCTAAACCCTAACTTATCAGGTTGACTGTGCACCTCGGGCGGGGTTTACATGGGGATCCCTCGTTTCGCTGCTGTCAGCTTCCTCGTTCTTTTCGGCAGAATCAACTTTCTGAAAGCTCCGTAGTTCAGAAAACAATCAAAAAAGCTCTTTTTTCACATCTTCAGATATTGACAGCTCCAGAAGCTATGCAAGTCAAAAGACATTAAACAGTTCTCGTAAACATCAAGTTGTAAAAGTTCTGGAACCTCTGCGAAAGTTCTAAAGTCACACGCACTGGAAACGGGTCTGCGCAGCCCATGTAAGAAAATTGGGTCCTCTGTTGAACTTCTGAAACTTCCGGAACTTATCGGACTTATCGCCGCGAGCAATCCTCTAAAGAGAAACTCATGTCCTTGAAGGAAATGAATGTGTCGGGACCTGAAACATCGAGTGCGGAAGTAACATGTCAGCGAACTATACCCACTGCACATGGAGGACGAAGCGCAAGCCGCTTGCTGCACACCGATGAACTCACAAGTAGCGGCTGCACAGCACAAATGACCGATAAAAGTGACGTTGTGCAACATGCCTCGGGCTGTACTCACTTTCGGAGTGGTGCAACACAAAAGTGTGGAGGCCCGCTGAGCTTCGAAAATGCACACAGAGGGAGGACAGAGCATACCCAACACGCAGAGGCCAGGCCGTCCAACCCTGAATGTTCTTCGGCACAAACCGATCTGTCCTGTGTTTCAGTGTCGACTTTTGTCCAGGGTTTCAGCCAAGATCCTGTAGGTTAGCATTTCGACTCTCACTTTCGTGACAGACAGGGTTGAAGGGTCTCGGGTAGAACTCCTGCCCATCTGCTTTCAAGATCTTCCCGCTTCGAAAACCCTCAGCAACTGCCATCCCAGGCACCAAAACTTCGACCCGCTGCCGGGAGCCGAGTTTAGCCGGACTTGAACACCAGGATGGCCACTTGCCCGAGGTAGAAGTAGATGAAATGCTTGGTCTCGTGGGTCACATAGGAGCCAAAATTTCGACCGACCTGGCATTCGGTTAGGCCGGTAGGAAAATGGGATGGCAAGGGGGTTGCGAGAGTCAGGAACAAGATCTTGATCCAAACCGGCAGTCTTCTCTTTCGTGCCTGCTTAACATGTCTGTCTGATCGTCTGGTCTCGTCTGTCTCTCTCCTGGCCATGGCTTTGGATTGGCCCAGGAAGAATCAGATGTCATGTGCAGGAACATACACGAACTTCCTCGCCCACATGGACATGGGGAGGGTAGTCACAGCAAATCCCAGCTAGTGCAGCAGGGCAAGCTATGAACGCAGCACATGCTCAAGCGCAACCATCCATGCCCCCGCAAGGAAAGCTGCGCAAAACTTCGCAGATCGCACCACACAGTGCCAGGTCGGGTTGTACTTCTTGTCGAACCTCCGAGCTTCGATCTTGCTTTTTGTCTCTGCACTAAGATATGTTCTCTGGGCTCTGCGGCTACTACTTTGTGCACGTCTCGTCACTTCTCTTGCCCTAAGGGTTGGGGAGTTCCCCTGGGTTGGGAAATGTGGGGACTTTAAAAGTCTGCCGGCTTATGCGGTCAATCCTAAACTCCAAAACCAAGACGTCTTCATGTTTCCGGGCCTGCAATGGCCCGCAAGACTTTGAAGACTTTTCAGACTTCAAGGCTCCGGTCTTATATAAATCAAGGGGACTTAGGCTTCTCAAGAGTTTGCTCGTGATTGCAAGATAGAGCCTGTTTGAGGATGGACCCGAAGGAGACGGGCCCAGGAGTTGCGCAGATCGAATCTTTGAGGACATGGCCACGAGGTGGGGTTGAGTTTTTGCAATGCGCTTTCTGGACTCCGTCGACTTGATGGCCTAGACACCCGCAAAAGACACTTTCATGCACTTTCAGAGGCTTCTTTCAGGGTGGTCCAGGGGTGCCCCCAGGCTTCCCAAAGCTGCCATCTGAGCTGGGCCACTCCTTCTTGATAAAAGCAGCAATGTCCTGCATGAGATCACGACAAGGGGGCACCGTAGTGCGTCTCGCCATGCTCCCCCAGTCGTATGTCAGAGGGGAGACATAATCTGTCCTTGTGTTATGTTGAGGGGTGATGGTGCTATCACGTGCATCACCTCCAAACACGTGCATCATTGCATTTTTCTTTTGGCGTCTTTCTTCGCGGGCACCCGTCCTTCTCGATGTTGTACTTCTCAAGTGCCTGCGTGGCGCAGTCAATCGCATCCTTCGGTCAAGTCTGTCAAAGACCACACACCACGAAGATTGGTTAGTGAGCCTGCGCAAAAAGACATGAAACCCTTGTCCTGCTGCATATCCTCCGCCATGTCTGCATTCTTGATGACCTTGGCTGCGTTTGGAGCTGGGGACGGCTGGGGATCGTGTTTGTCTGCTCTTTTTGCTGCCGAGGCACGGCTTTGCGGTCAGCCATGGTCCCGATGAGGAGCGGCCACGGGCTTGGTGTTGCACGTTTGCACACGACTTCTTTGGGGAAAAGACTCTTTGAGCCACAACAAAAGAGCCAAGTGCGGCGCAGAAAAGTGTTCAGAATGACGCTTCCCCCCCGCCCCCACCCCAAACCCACGCACTCCGTCCGAGATCTCGAGGTGCAGTTGCAGGCAGGGCTGGGCACGGCGCGAGAGGACTTCGCCTGGGGCCCTCGTCACCTTGGAAGACAAAGCACGGTTCGACTGGCAGAGTGGAGCTGGGATGCATAGAGTCATAGAGTAGTGGGGGGTTGAAGATTGGCTTAGCTGGAACAGGACTTGGAGAAGACACTCGAGGCTTCCAGCACTCTTGCTTCCCAATCTGAGCCCACATCCCCCCACCCCCCCCACAAGCGAATGAGTGTCGAGCTATCCGGAGCTCATGTCTGACGTAAGCCGGAGACGGACAAACAAAGGACGAGGGCACGCTGCAAGCTCCGAAGGAGCATGTCTTGCAGGATCATGATCTAGAATCTAGAATCTATGCCCGGGCCTGAGTCAGGTGCCTCCCTGCTGCAATCATTTCCCTAGTGGGGCCCCTTGCAAACATTTCTTGAAAAATCGGGAAGGTTTCTTTGCTCCAGGACTGCGCACGGCCTTTTCGAATGGCGGGCGACGCTCGATGTTCACAAAGCAGAAGCATCCTCTGAAGTTAAGAAGGTCTTCTGCACGGGAAGTGAAAACAGCAGATGAAGAAGAACAACGGGTTCAGGGTTTGCGGCTGAGGGGCTTAGGGGCTTAGGGTCTGGGCTGCAGAGGTTCGCTGCAGAGGTTCGAGGTTTGAAGGGGCACGGCTTGGGCCTTGAAGGGTTTAACGGTTGAGGCGTTTAGGGTTCAGCTTTTTGAACGGTTGTCGTGTAGGCATCGGCTGCTGTCAATTCCCTGTTGCTCCCCACGATGTGTGAGTTGCCGGAGGCGACGTACGCGCGACCTCGTAGCTTCAAAATGCTGAGAAGTGCGCGCTAACGTCATGGGCAGTCCTTGCCTTTGACAGTGAAATCTTCGCCAGTGAAATCTCAGTTTTAAAGGACATCGCACTGGAAGAATCTGGCTTTGTGTCGCCTGCTGCGTTTCCGCAGCTTTGAGAAAAAAGGGCCTGGCATTTGCCATGCCGAAAATTCGCGGCTACGAAAAAGGCAAGCTCTCATGCTGACCGGAAAATGCCACATGCTCAAGCCTCAGATAAGCCATCACGCTTCCTCTACAAAGCACAGTGACCACACGAACATGTTGCGCTTTCAGGGTTTTCCTCGGCAACTCCGAACTCCTAGAACTCCATAAAGCCTCGAAAACAAATGTCCTTGCGGCCGGCCATCGGCATTGATGGGCCACAAGAAACAGACATGTTCATCCCTGCCCTGGCACGTTTCACGACTCCTGCTTGGCGTCCTTTTTCGGCTTAGATCTCAGCCAGCGGCTTACCTCGAGCAACTGTGCTATGCGGCCACCACGTAAGATCACAGAAGCCTTGATATCAGAAACCCCAACACCAAACCCGAGAGTGGATGTGCAGGCGCTTGAAAAGGTGGAAAGCCCTTTCTGTGGCTGCGGACCTACAAAGACGTCCCGCATGTGTACCAAAGATATAAAATCAGTGGGGCTCGCGTGCTTCCAGTCAAGGCGCCGAGCGGGCCTTGTACTTGTTCTCCACCTGACAGGATTCGGTGTTCAGGGTCTCAAGTGTCTTGTTCAGGGTTGCACATTGGACCAATTCGGCAGGATGCCTTCAGGCACTGCTCCGATTGGCTGCTGATGGCTACTGCTCGCTGCAACGTACAGCTATGCATACTGGTGCCATCTGCTGCAGGCAAAGACTACAAAAGGCAGGAACTGAATGGTGTGGGCTACTGCTGAGCCAAAGCCAGACTCGCCTTTTGGTACATCTTGAAGCCCTGGACCTGGTACTCCTTGGCTGACACAAGCTTTCGTTTCAAGTGCCTTCTTGGGAACCTCAAAAAAGTTAATTCCGCTCAGAGTCTTTGAGAGGCTCCGAGCCTTTGTAGGCTGCCAAGCCTTTGAGCAGTGTTCACAAGAAGGGCGCAGGATTTTGTGAGGCGCTTCTCACGTGAGGCTTTACAAAAGTTACCCCATGCAATCCCTCAACTTCACCCGAAGATTTGCTCGTGCGATTTCTTGTTTCAGGCGCTGCATATGGGGTCGTTCGGGTCATTTGGCTCCTCCTCATTTGCTTAGCAACATGACGCTCCCTTGACCAAACCTCTTGCATGTCGCAGCTCTTTGCAGAATGAGGCAAAGCCACCCACAGTCTGCTTCAGTGCGTCCATCTTCTGCAGCAGAGCTTTCCACTCATCATCAATCGTCCTTAACTCTGCAGCAAGCGCCGCCGAGGCTTGGGCTTAGCGCGGCTTCTGCGAACACTGTGTGAAGGCATTTAGGCATTTTTCCTTCTTTTCCAACAGAAACCTGTGACTCTCGGAAGCTAAGGGACACGACTGTCGCAATTCGCGCAGCTTCGACGGCAAATCCCGGGCGGAACTCCTTGCACTTGGGCCGCTTGGCAGGATCTTGAGGGTTGAACTTTCCGTGAACTTCCGAGCCGAGAAACCTCAAAGACGCTGCGCACTGCTGCTGCCCCCCTCCGTTTGCCTCGTACGAGGAAGCCTTCTGCTTGATGCCCGTCTGAACAACCTCATTCAGCTTTGCTTCGACTTCTGCCTAGGTCAGGACAAACAGGAATGTTGGAATGCAGAGTCTGCTACAATGCTTAGATCGGCCCATCTCCCAAAGTCGAAAGTCTTCCTCGCGAGCGACGCCCCTTCACGACCTTTTCCACTGAAACCGTCAAGCACGCGCAGCCCTAAGGACCTGTGCGAACTCCTGCATCCTGCAGAATGCCGTGAAACCGCACACACAAATGTCGGCGCAAAAACGGGTGTCCAAAACAGGTGGAGGGCTAACAGGTCAATGGCCAAGTGGGCCAAGTGGGTTCCCAAATGGGTGCCAAGTTGCCGGCTTCATCCCTGCAGGCAGCTCTGGCATGTCGAGGCCTCTTCATGTTCATTAGTGGATGTTCAGGGCTTGATGTGAGAACATGTCAGAACCGGTATGGGGGCCCCAAGCCTAGCTGTTGGCTCTTGAATGCGCCGCTCTACGACGCCCAACCCGCACTCCATACACCCACGCACACACAAAACAACAAACATCGCGAAGCCTGAAACCAGAGCTCGAAAGCCTCCTGCTGCTGGGGACCAGGCCAAAATACTCGTTGAACTCGGTTGCCTTCTCCTCCGGAGTTTTCTCTTCTTCCGGGGTCTTGCCCGTGACCTGCCAGCAGAGTGGACACGTTTGCCTGGAGGCGCCCTTGGGACATGTATCGATCCTACTATATCCTACTCCCCAGGCATGCCGATGACGACAGACATGTGCCGTGCTTGTGCCACCATGATCACCAAGATCAGGTCGCAGCTCGACAGCCCTTAAGCCCGTTCGCCGGGCATGGGGCAGCAGCTTTCGACCCAAACGCATGTCTCATGACTGAAGAGGTCCTGTTGCACTTGCTTGCGAGCACATGGCTGACGTCATGAGCAAAAGCCCAGATCTCAAGACACCGCAAAAACTTGTGCAAAATGCTTGATGACAAGCTTCAATATGGACACCGCTTGAATGATCCTACAGGTAAGTAAGCTCACCAGGAACCCCAGCAGCGACCCCCAACATGTTCGAAAACCCAAAACAACAACTCCTTAAGCTGAAGCTTGGCGGCGTGGCCTGCTCTATATGGAACTTCACGGCATCTTTTCCCCAGTCCTCCAGCCACATGCCATCTCAGTCTCAACCCAATCCTTCCCCGCGCGGACGCAGCAATAGGAACGCAGTGGGAAGGAAAGGGAGGAGGAGCGACAGCTATGACGGACATTGACCCCGACTTGGTCACTTGTGACCACCCTGTCCCGGGCCACTTGCGGGGGGGAGACGGGTTGGCAGAGGGGGGTGTGCGGGGTGGCCGCAACGTGGTCGGCTAAGCGCATCTTTCTGGGGGAAAAAGAAGACACGGGCATTGGCCCTAAAGTTTTAGGGTCTCTTGGATTTCTCTAACCCTCAAACTTTGGGGCTTTCGGCGTTCCGGGGGCTTGAGACAACAAAACCGAGAAGAGTGCAAGAAACCGTGAGCAGCCGGCGAGCAGCCTATATGCTGTGGCCCTGCAGTGATTCAAGCATGAACACAGGCACAAGTGAAAAGTCACGTGGTCCCCAAGCGAGCGGTATACCATCAGGACACGCCCGATCCCCTGTAACTGTCAACAAAACCGATGCACAAACGAGGGCATTCACAAGTACAACCGTCACAAGGAAACTCTTCGTGGACAGAACCACACGAGTTCTGGCCAACTCGCGACCCCGAAACCCCACCTTTAAACGGGACCCCCTGGGGAAACTTGGCAGGCGTTTCAAAGTTCGAAATCATAAAGGTAATAGCAACAAGTATGTCCGCAAAGCCGTAGTACATGTGCGCGCATAGAAAGAGCTGAACAGGACAACCACGCAGGCAGAATTAGAGGCAGCAGGAGCATGTGTGTGTTGCCGCTTGATTCTGCCATCACGCTTTTGTCCTCAACAAGCTTCATGACGCTGGCATCATCGTTGGCCAAAAACTCCTGTCGGTGCACATCATCTCCCGGGACTCTTCCTTCAGCCTTGATCTCCACCGTGGATCAACCCTCACCATCAAGTAAAGGAAGTGAATTTCAAGAACGATATTCTGTGGTGATCCTTGCGTGCCTAGAACTGTTTCGGTCTTGGACTGAACATGACTGAACCCTTCAACCCTCAACACGGTGTTTCCCAAGACATAGGAACGAACAAGCTCCTTGCGGGTGTTGTAAGTGAGCTCACGCTGCTTGGAGATCACCTGCAGGCCAGCGTTTTGAGGTTCTGTCCCGGACAGCTCGGATGGACAATGCCTGGCCTTGTCGAACTCAAAAAGGGTTGTGCGCGTCTTTTTGAAGAACTCCTCCACGGCTTTCTGGACTCTGTCCAAGGTGTCATTGACCTCAACATGGCCCTCCGAAGCCCGGGAGTGAGCACTCCACTCGATCTAAGGCCCTGAAACAACCCAGAAGCACACGGCAATGTGCTGCCCTGCAGAAGATGGACAAGATCTACTGTTGCATACGGATGCATTGTCGTGAACCCCCGACGGTCAACCTCAAAATTCTGAC